ATAAAAAGTACAGTACATTAAGTACATGACTCAACAACGTTTAGCTGACAATTTAGAAGGTGATATATTGTACAGACATTACTATACTGATATATTGTATATGTCAGGATTAGCATTAGAACGGTAAGACATATTGGCAATACTGACGTCACAAAATATGGATTAGAGATAGAGGTAGAAGTGACATACACGATAACCAGACATTTACACTGCCTCAGCACTCTACATCAACTGATAACACGATAACGAGACATTTACACTGCCTCAGCACTCTACATCAACTGATAACACGATAACGAGACATTTACACTGCCTCAGCACTCTACATCAACTGATAACACGATGACGAGACATTTACACTGTCTCAGCACTCTACATCAACTGATAACACGATAACGAGACATTTAGACTGTCTCAGCACTCTACATCAACTAATAACACGATAACGAGACATTTACACTGTCTCAGCACTCTACATCAACTGATAACACGATAACGAGACATTTACACTGCCTCTCCAAACACACAACTCACACAAGTTGATCAGACTTCAATAAGACTGAAAATGCCTGCCAGTAATCCATATCTTTCTGGCGCTAGATAGATCATAATTGCCAATATCCAGCTGGAGGTCTCCCTGCTATCTCTGCTGACCAGTTGTTATCCTGTCCTGTAGACCCGCTATCACCCTCTCCCCTACCCCCCACCGCTGCCACACAGGAAAAACATTCACTCGAACACTCTGGAAATTGTATAATTCTGGCAGCAATACTGAGAGTGAATCAATACCCATCAGTGTGGGAGGCGGCCACCTGCTCCTCCACACTAACATCACTAAAGTTTCTCTTATGTGTGAACTTGTAAACATTCCTCTAGTAGGCGAATTTTTTGTACCATTACATGTATGTATCTCAGGGTTGATGTTGTGTTGGTGTTGTGAAGTTGTTGTAGATGTTGTTAGTGTGTTGGTGCTGTTGTGAGGTTGTTGTAGATGTTGTTAGTGTGTTGGTGCTGTTGTGAGGTTGTTGTAGATGTTGTTAGTGTGTTGTGTTGGGTGTTGTGAGGTTGTTGTAGATGTTGTTAGTGTGTTGTGTTGGTGTTGTGAGGTTGTTGTAGATGTTGTTAGTGTGTTGATGGGTGTTGTGAGGTTGTTGTAGATGTTGTTAGTGTGTTGGTGGTGTTGTGAGGTTGTTGTAGATGTTGTTAGTGTGTTGTGTTGGTGTTGTGAGGTTGTTGTAGATGTTGTTAATGTGTTGGTGGTGTTGTGAGGTTGTTGTAGATGTTGTTAGTGTGTTGGTGGGTGTTGTGAGGTTGTTGTAGATGTTGTTAGTGTGTTGTGTTGGTGTTGTGAGGTTGTTGTAGATGTTGTTAGTGTGTTGGTGGGTGTTGTGAGGTTGTTGTAGATGTTGTTAGTGTGTTGGTGGGTGTTGTGAGGTTGTTGTAGATGTTGTTAGTGTGTTGTGTTGGTGTTGTGAGGTTGTTGTAGATGTTGTTAGTGTGTTGGTGGGTGTTGTGAGGTTGTTGTAGATGTTGTTAGTGTGTTGTGTTGGTGTTGTGAGGTTGTTGTAGATGTTGTTAGTGTGTTGTGTTGGTGTTGTGAGGTTGTTGTAGATGTTGTTAGTGTGTTGGTGGGTGTTGTGAGGTTGTTGTAGATGTTGTTAGTGTGTTGTGTTGGTGTTGTGAGGTTGTTGTAGATGTTGTTAGTTGTGTTGTGTTGGGTGTTGTGAGTGTTGTGTGTAGATGTTGTTAGTGTGTTGTGTGTGTGGTGTTGTGAGGTTGTTGTAGATGTTGTTAGTGTGTTGGTGGTGTTGTGAGGTTGTTGTAGATGTTGTTAGTGTGTTGTGTTGGGTGTTGTGAGGTTGTTGTAGATGTTGTTAGTGTGTTGTGTTGGTGTTGTGAGGTTGTTGTAGATGTTGTTAGTGTGTTGTGTTGGGTGTTGTGAGGTTGTTGTAGATGTTGTTAGTGTGTTGGTGGGTGTTGTGAGGTTGTTGTAGATGTTGTTAGTGTGTTGGTGGGTGTTGTGAGGTTGTTGTAGATGTTGTTAGTGTGTTGTGTTGGTGTTGTGAGGTTGTTGTAGATGTTGTTAGTGTGTTGTGTTGGTGTTGTGAGGTTGTTGTAGATGTTGTTAGTGTGTTGGTGGTGTTGTGAGGTTGCTGTAGATGTTGTTAGTGTGTTGGTGGTGTTGTGAGAGCGTTGTAAACTGTGTTATCTATGTTATCATCATCTCTGCTTCTTTATTAGTCTGGTCTCTTATAGCCGAGTTGTTGTCACGTTACTCTTATTACTGAACTTCTCTTTGTCTTATTACCATTATTATTGCACAATGAAATCACATTAACGGGATGTGTTGATGAGCAAATCATCAGGAGCCGTGAGGAAGAGTCGACGCCACTCACTTGGTACTCCCAAGCACACGCCCTAGACCACTACGCCACGACATGGTCAAAATAATGCAACCTGGGGTTACAGCGAAGCCTCCAGGACCTGACGCCACAACCTGACCCAGACACCACACCAGTCTGTGCACCATACATCAATCTATAAACACTACAGAAACTCAAACCCCAGTTCAGAAAAGCCAAAAAGTACCAAAGACCATTACCAAAGCCACAGACCTTACCCATAACACCATTATCAAGGCCCAGACCTACCCAAAACACCATTATCAAGGCCACAGACTTACCCAAACACCATTATCAAGGCCACAGACCTACCCAAAAACACATTATCAAAGCCACAGACCTACCCAAACACCATTATCAAGGCCACAGACCTACCCAAACACCATTTACAAGGCCACAGGACCTACCCAAACACCATTATCAAGCCACAGACTACCCAAACACCAAAGGCCCAGACCTACCAAAACCACCATTATCAAGGCCACAGACCTACCCAAACACCATGATCAAGGCCACAGACCTACCCAAACCACAATTATCAAGGCCACAAGGACTACACAAACCACCCAAGCCCACAGACCTACCCAAATACCATTATCAAAGCCACAGACCTACCCAAAACACCATTATCAAAGCCACAGACTTACCCAAATACCATTATCAAGGCCACAGACCTACCCAAACACCATTATCAAGGGCACAGACCTACAAAAACACCATTATCAAGGCCACAGACCTACCCAAACACCATTATCAAGGGACACAGACCTACCCAAAAACCATTATCAAGGCCCACAGACTACCCAAACACCATTATCAAGGCCACAGACCTACCCCAAAAACACAGTAGCAACGGGCAACAGACTTACCCAAATACCATTATCAAGGCCACAGACCTACCCAAACCCCATTATCACAAAGCCACAGACTTACCCACAATACCATTTATCAAGGCCACAGACCTTACAAAACACCATTATCAAAGCAAACAGACATACCACAAATACCATTATCAAAGCCCACAGACCTACCCAAACACCATTATCAAGGACACCCAGACCTACCCAAATACCATTATCAAAGCCACAGACCTACCCAAACACCATTATCAAGGCCAAACACCATTATCAAGGCCACAGACCTACCCAAAACACCATTATCAAGGCCACAGACCTACCCAAACACCATTATCAAGGCCACAGACCTACCCAAACACCATTATCAAGGCCACAGACCTACCCAAACACCATTATCAAGGCCACAGACCTACCCAAACACCATTATCAAGGCCACAGACCTACCCAAACACCATTATCAAGGCCACAGACCTACCCAAACACCATTATCAAGGCCACAGACCTACCCAAACACCATTATCAAGGCCACAGACCTACCCAAACACCATTATCAAGGCCACAGACCTACCCAAACACCATTATCAAGGCCACAGACCTACCCAAACACCATTATCAAGGCCACAGACCTACCCAAACACCATTATCAAGGCCACAGACCTACCCAAACACCATTATCAAGGCCACAGACCTACCCAAACACCATTATCAAGGCCACAGACCATTATCAAGGCCACAGACCTACCCAAACACCATTATCAAAGCCACAGACCTACCCAAATACCATTATCAAGGCCACAGACCTACCCAAACACCATTATCAAGGGCACAGACCTACCCAAACACCATTATCAAGGCCACAGACCTACCCAAACACCATTATCAAGGCCACAGACCTACCCAAACACCATTATCAAGGCCACAGACCTACCCAAACACCATTATCAAGGCCACAGACCTACCCAAACACCATTATCAAAGCCACAGACCTACCCAAATACCATTATCAAGGCCACAGACCTACCCAAACACCATTATCAAAGCCACAGACCTACCCAAATACCATTATCAAGGCCACAGACCTACCCAAACACCATTATCAAAGCCACAGACCTACCCAAACACCATTATCAAGGCCACAGACCTACCCAAACACCATTATCAAGGCCACAGACCTACCCAAACACCATTATCAAGGCCACAGACCTTACCCAAACACCATTATCAAGGCCACAGACCTCAAACCCAAACACCATTATCAAGGCCACAGACCTACCCAAACACCATTATCAAGGCCACAGACCTACCCAAACACCATTATCAAGGCCACAGACCTACCCAAACACCATTATCAAGGGGCCACAGACCTACCCAAACACCATTATCAAGGCCACAGACCTACCCAAACACCATTATCAAGGCCACAGACCTAGCCCAAACACCATTATCAAGGCCACAGACCTACCCAAACACCATTATCAAGGCCACAGACCTACCCAACCCAAACACCATTATCAAGGCCACAGACCTACCCAAACACCATTATCAAGGCCACAGACCTACCCAAACACCATTATCAAGGCCACAGACCTACCCAAACACCATTATCAAGGCCACAGACCTACCCAAACACCATTATCAAGGCCACAGACCTACCCAAACACCATTATCAAGGCCACAGACCTACCCAAACACCATTATCAAGGCCACAGACCTACCCAAACACCATTATCAAGGCCACAGACCTACCCAAACACCATTATCAAGGCCACAGACCTACCCAAACACCATTATCAAGGCCACAGACCTACCCAAACACCATTATCAAGGCCACAGACCTACCCAAACACCATTATCAAGGCCACAGACCTACCCAAACACCATTATCAAGGCCACAGACCTACCCAAACACCATTATCAAGGCCACAGACCTACCCAAACACCATTATCAAGGCCACAGACCTACCCAAACACCATTATCAAGGCCACAGACCTACCCAAACACCATTATCAAGGCCACAGACCTACCCAAACACCATTATCAAGGCCACAGACCTACCCAAACACCATTATCAAGGCCAGACCTACCCAAACACCATTATCAAGGCCACAGACCTACCCAAACACCATTATCAAGGCCACAGACCTACCCAAACACCATTATCAAGGCCACAGACCTACCCAAACACCATTATCAAGGCCACAGACCTACCCAAACACCATTATCAAGGCCACAGACCTACCCAAACACCATTATCAAGGCCACAGACCTACCCAACCTACACCATTATCAAGGCCACAGACCTACCCAAACACCATTATCAAGGCCACAGACCTACCCAAACACCATTATCAAGGCCACAGACCTACCCAAACACCATTATCAAGGCCACAGACCTACCCAAACACCATTATCAAGGCCACAGACCTACCCAAGCACCATTATCAAGGCCACAGACCTACCCAAACACCATTATCAAGGCCACAGACCTACCCAAACACCATTATCAAGGCCACAGACCTACCCAAACACCATTATCAAGGCCACAGACCTACCCAAACACCATTATCAAGGCCACAGACCTACCCAAACACCATTATCAAGGCCACAGACCTACCCAAACACCATTATCAAGGCCACAGACCTACCCAAACACCATTATCAAGGCCACAGACCTACCCAAACACCATTATCAAGGCCACAGACCTACCCAAACACCATTATCAAGGCCACAGACCTACCCAAACACCATTATCAAGGCCACAGACCTACCCAAACACCATTATCAAGGCCACAGACCTACCCAAACACCATTATCAAGGCCACAGACCTACCCAAACACCATTATCAAGGCCACAGACCTACCCAAACACCATTATCAAGGCCACAGACCTACCCAAACACCATTATCAAGGCCACAGACCTACCCAAACACCATTATCAAGGCCACAGACCTACCCAAACACCATTATCAAGGCCACAGACCTACCCAAACACCATTATCAAGGCCACAGACCTACAGACCTAAACACCATTATCAAGGCCACAGACCTACCCAAAACCATTATCAAGGCCACAGACCTACCCAAACACCATTATCAAGGCCACAGACCTACCCAAGCACCATTATCAAGGCCACAGACCTACCCAGACACCACACACCAACCCAAGCACCACACACCTACCCAAGCACCACACACCTACCCAAGCACCACACACCAACCCAAACACCGTCCCCAAACATGGAACATAAACTCCAAAGAGTGAAAGCCGTCCGAGTTTGACCCATAGACGAGCCAGAGACCGGGCCTGGAAGACCATCCATTTTGATGTAGGTGTAAACGATGCCGTAAAGTTGTGGCGGAGCAGCAGAGTGTAACTGGCCACTCAGGGTAATGGCGGCGTATGTCCCCGCCGATATATCCGGCACCAGATTGGCGGCAAACGAGCGAGGGTATATCAGGTGAGGCGGGCTCCCGGGCCCTTCAGAATTTACACATTGAAGCTGAGGGTTAGTGTGGCTGTGTAGACATGTAGATGTGCTGCCTGCACGTTGAGCTCCAGCTCTTGGGCTTCCACATCTCTACCTGTGTTGTTGTTGTTGTTATAGATTTGTTACCTGGAACAAAAAGTTCAAAGTAGCACGGGCTATGGTGAGCCCGTAGTGGACTTACCTGGCACAGGAGCGGGGCAAGTAGCACGGGCTATGGTGAGCCCGTAGTGGACTTACCTGGCACAGGAGCGGGGCAAGTAGCACGGGCTATGGTGAGCCCGTAGTGGACTTACCTGGCACAGGAGCGGTGCTGTCTGCCTGTGTACATGACTGTTGAGGTATATGTGTTGTGGGGGTGAAGGAAGAGAGGTGGCCGGGGGGGGGGAGGGGTTGTGGGAGTGAAAGAAGGAAGGAAGTCTCTGGTGCATTCATGTTAGTCACCTTTAAACTGTCCGCTTATCCCACTGTCTCATCGTTGGCTCATTCTGTTAAGGCCATCAGCTGGCACGAAGCCTTGTTAGCTGAGGTTATCTTCTTGAGGTTATCTTGAGATGATTTCGGGGCTTTAGTGTCCCCGCGGCCCGGTCCTCGACCAGGCCTCCACCCCCAGGAAGCAGCCCGTGACAGCTGGCTAACACCCAGGTACCTATTTTACTGCTAGGCAACAGGGACATAGGGTGAAAGGAACTCTGCCCATTGTTTCTCGCCGGCGCCTGGGATCGAACCCGGGACCACAGGATCACAAGTCCAGCGTGTTGTCCGCTCGGCCGACCGGCTGAGCAGGCAGGTCGGGAGCTGTGCCCCCCCCCCTCTCCCGCTGTGAGGGGGGGGGGCGGGGGCTGTGGATAGAGAGAGCGTGCCAAAGTACGTCACTAATGGCTTGACGAAGTTTGCTTTATTTAAAAAAAAAGTTTAAATATATGGAAACACCTGTGGTACTGGTGACGGTTCTGCGGCCACAGTGGCAGCTACAGCAGCACCTTCTCCCAGTACAGCAGCAGGAACAGCAGCAGTATACGTGGCAGCAGAGTAGCAGCAGCTACAGCAGCACCTTCTCCCAGTACAGCAGCAGGAACAGCAGCAGTATACGTGGCAGCAGAGTAGCAGCAGCTACAGCAGCACCTTCTCCCAGTACAGCAGCAGGAACAGCAGCAGTATACGTGGCAGCAGAGTAGCAGCAGCTACAGCAGCACCTTCTCCCAGTACAGCAGCAGCAACAGCAGCAGTATACGTGGCAGTAGAGTAGCAGCAGCTACAGCAGCACCTTCTCCCAGTACAGCAGCAGGAACAGCAGCAGTATACGTGGCAGCAGAATAGCAGCAGCTACAGCAGCACCTTCTCCCAGTACAGCAGCAGGAACAGCAGCAGTATACGTGGCAGCAGAGTAACAGCAGCATCAGGAGCACCAGCAAGAAGTTTAATTAAATAACTTGTCAAAATATTACAGAACAAACAGGAGAGGAGAATTACCTGGACAATGTTATGAGTAAGATCAACACCAGTTTCCCGCCCGTGATGGACTCATTCCTCCAGTTTTTGTCTTCACTAACATCATTATCACCCCCCCCCCTGCCCCCCCCTCCCCCCCTTGTCCCCCGCCCCCCCACACACACAACTGTAGACTCTGTGCTGCAGCTGAAACACAAACGGACAGAGGATTAGATCCTCTGGAGAAGAGTTGGGAGTTGGATGACCTCGGCCAGGCAGTCCGGACCTGGGAGATGGTGACTCCCAGCGGTGACCCCCAGTGCTGACCCCCAGCGGTAACCCCAGTGCTGACCCCCAGCGGTGACCCCAGCGGTGACCCCGAGCGGTGACCACAGCGGTGACCCCAGTGCTGACCCCAGCGGTGACCATCAGCAGTGACCCCGAGCGGTGACCCCAGCGGTGACCCCAGTGCTGACCCCCAGCGGTGACCATCAGCAGTGACCCCGAGCGGTGACCCCAGTGCTGACCCCCAGCGGTGACCCCAGTGCTGACCCCCAGCGGTGACCCCAGTGCTGACCCCCAGCGGTGACCATCAGCAGTGACCCCAGTGCTGACCCCCAGTGCTGACCCTCAGCGGTGGCCCCAGTGCTGACCCCCAGCGGTGACCCCAGTGCTGACCCCCAGCGGTGACCCCAGCGGTGACCATCAGCGGTGACCCCAGTGCTGACCCCCAGCGGTGACCCCAGTGCTGACCCCCAGCGGTGACCCCAGTGCTGACCCCCAGCGGTGACCATCAGCAGTGACCCCGAGCGGTGACCCCAGCGGTGACCCCCAGCGGTGACCCCAGCGGTGACCCCCAGCGGTGACCCCAGTGCTGACCCCCAGCGGTGACCCCAGCGGTGACCCCAGCGGTGACCCCAGCGGTGACCCCAGCGGTGACCCCCAGCGGTGACCATCAGCAGTGACCCCGAGCGGTGACCCCAGCGGTGACCCCAGCGGTGACCCCAGTGCTGACCCCCAGTGCTGACCCCCAGCGGTGACCACCAGCAGTGACCCCAGCGGTGACCCCAGCGCTGACCCCCAGCGGTGACCATCAGCAGTGACCCCGAGCGGTGACCCCAGCGGTGACCCCAGCGGTGACCCCGAGCGGTGACCCCAGCGGTGACCCCAGTGCTGACCCCCAGCGGTGACCATCAGCAGTGACCCCGAGCGGTGACCCCAGTGCTGACCCCCAGCGGTGACCCCAGTGCTGACCCCCAGCGGTGACCATCAGCAGTGACCCCAGTGCTGACCCCCAGTGCTGACCCCCAGCGGTGGCCCCAGTGCTGACCCCCAGCGGTGACCCCAGTGCTGACCCCCAGCGGTGACCCCAGCGGTGACCATCAGCGGTGACCCCAGTGCTGACCCCAGCGGTGACCCCAGTGCTGACCCCCAGCGGTGACCCCAGTGCTGACCCCAGCGGTGACCATCAGCAGTGACCCCGAGCGGTGACCCCAGCGGTGACCCCCAGCGGTGACCCCAGCGGTGACCCCCAGCGGTGACCCCAGTGCTGACCCCCAGCGGTGACCCCAGCGGTGACCCCAGCGGTGACCCAGCGGTGACCCCCAGCGGTGACCATCAGCAGTGACCCCGAGCGGTGACCCCAGCGGTGACCCCAGTGCTGACCCCCAGCGGTGACCATCAGCAGTGACCCCAGCGGTGACCCCAGCGCTGACCCCCAGCGGTGACCATCAGCAGTGACCCCGAGCGGTGACCCCAGCGGTGACCCCAGCGGTGACCCCGAGCGGTGACCCCAGCGGTGACCCCAGCGGTGACCCCCAGCGGTGACCCCCAGCGGTGACCCCAGTGGTGACCCCAGCGGTGACCCCAGCGGTGACCCCAGCGGTGCCCCCCAGCGGTGACCCCAGCGGTGACCCCAGCGGTGACCCCAGGGGTGACCCCAGCGGTGACCCCAGAGGTGACCCCAGTACACCAACATGGTGCCGTGTTAGTGCCCGGCCTCCACATACTCAGGTTGTGGGCCGCCAGGATGGACTGGTGTCAACAACACCTTGCCCACTGGCTTCAATTATAATGGATTCAAAAATACACCTTGGTAAGTATACATGGTAGAGAACACTATACATGGTAGAGAACACTATACATGGTAGAGAACACTATACATGGTAGAGAACACTATACATGGTAGAGAACACTATACATGGTACAGAACACTATACATGGTACAGAACACTATACATGGTACAGAACATTATACATGGTACAGAACACTATACATGGTAGAGAACACTATACATGGTACAGAACACTATACATGGTACAGAACACTATACATGGTAGAGAACACTATACATGGTACAGAACATTATACATGGTACAGAACACTATACATGGTACAGAACACTATACATGGTACAGAACACTATACATGGTACAGAACATTATACATGGTACAGAACACTATACATGGTACAGAACACTATACATGGTACAGAACATTATACATGGTACAGAACATTATACATGGTACAGAACACTATACATGGTACAGAACATTATACATGGTACAGAACACTATACATGGTACAGAACACTATACATGGTACAGAACACTATACATGGTACAGAACACTATACATGGTACAGAACACTATACATGGTACAGAACACTATACATGGTACAGAACACTATACATGGTACAGAACACTATACATGGTACAGAACACTATACATGGTACAGAACACTATACATGGTACAGAACACTATACATGGTACAGAACACTATACATGGTACAGAACACTATACATGGTACAGAACACTATACATGGTACAGAACATTATACATGGTACAGAACACTATACATGGTACAGAACATTATACATGGTACAGAACACTATACATGGTACAGTATAGTGTTCTACATAGTACAGAACACTATACATGGTACAGAACACTATACATGGTACAGAACACTATACATGGTACAGAACATTATACATGGTACAGAACACTATACATGGTACAGAACACTACATAGTACAGAACACTATACATGGTACAGAACACTATACATGGTAGAGAACACTATACATGGTACAGAACACTATACATGGTACAGAACACTATACATGGTACAGAACACTACATAGTACAGAACACTATACATGGTACAGAACACTATACATGGTAGAGAACACTATACATGGTAGAGAACACTATACATGGTACAGAACACTATACATGGTACAGAACATTATACATGGTACAGAACACTATACATGGTACAGAACACTACATAGTACAGAACACTATACATGGTACAGAACACTATACATGGTAGAGAACATTATACATGGTACAGAACATTATACATGGTACAGAACAGTAAATTAAACACATACGATTCAGTTCTATTCTTGTTGTTTCTTGTTTTAGATTAAGCTACTTAGAACGAAATGTCTATGTAGCACGGTCTATGGTGAGCCCGTAAACAACAGTTGTGTGTGAACTATATACTTTAGTGTGGGGAGTGGCCCGCGGGGAGGAGGAGGAGGGCGGGCTGCCAGGGGTCTTAAGAGTAAACTTACCTCCCGCTCCTTACACGGCTGCACGGAAGTGCAACAAAGCGCGGGAAAATCTGTGTTACTGGAAGTTGCCGCCATAAAGAAGGGGATCCGCGCGCAGCTCCGCAGGGAAAAAGGTCACGTAAACAAAGCAATATATTCCACTTTTAGCCTGGCGGAAAGTCTCCAGGAACGCCAGTAAGCTGGTAAAGTCCGCAGGGAGAAGCTGCCGCTCTTACCCACCCACTTTGTCACTTTCACTCGTCTTAAACTCTGCATTAGTTGACGTGAGCTCCAGCACTCATGGAAGCTCCTCCGCTAAAACGATTTATGTTACATGCTGTAATTGTGCAACATTTACAGCATGTAACAATATATCCCGTATAACAGCAATATATCCCGTTCTTGTAGTTGTGAGGGTTATGTTCACAATATTTTACCAACTGTCGTTATTTCAATTCATTTGTGTGAGTAATTTATATTGTATTTATTATTGGATTGTTTTCTGTGTACATTGAGAGATGCGCGAGACGGCGGCCGTCGCCTCTCACTAATGTGTCGTGTGTCTCGCTAACCAACCTAACATATGTAAGTTACTATGACGATGTTGTTGTTATAGATTCAGCTACTGGGAACAAGTTCCAAGTAGCACGGGCTATGGTGAGCCCGTAGTGGACTAACCTGGCACAGGAGCGGAGATGAAGAGAAGTGGCTCACTAATATCTGGGCGTCAGCTCGATAGGTTAGGTGGGCTTCATGGGTTGATAATGCCCAACCCTAACCTCACCCAACCCTAATCTCCCCTCACCAACTCTTTATCTCCCTTCTCTTATGCACTGCTTCCCTCACCACACTTTATTTTCCTCTACCCTCCCTTCATCTTCCTGGCAGCACCCTTCTCCCCGTACCCATCCCTCACAGCCCCACGCCCCACAGATGCCCAAAGGTGGAGGACACTATGGAGAAGTAACAGTGCCGCAGCTTCCCTGTAACGTGATCTACCGCCTTCTGATGCCATAATAATGAAGGCAAGAGGAAATGGGATTTAAGTCGACAAGGCGGAAGAAAATGGGATGTTAATCCTTGAATGGTTGTCGTTTATCATTGTGGCGAGATGCGGAGAGAGAGGGGGGGGAGGGGGGGAGGGGGGGAGGGGGGAGAGAGAACTCCAAGGTGCCAG